GGGGTTGGCAGCTGTGACGTTTTTCTGTAAACATCATGGGAAAATTCGATAGTTTTTATCTTTGCACAATATAAAAAAGAAAACAATTTGATACCAACAGCAGTCTATATATTCGTAATACCATACCTGTTCTATACTTATACATTATATTATTACGCCTTCCTTACATTGAAAACACTCAAATTTCAAGAAAAACGCGTTAAAATTATCAATATTTCATGCCAAAAAAGTTGTTTTGAGAAACGTTGGAAATTTTGAAGTTCATATATATATTAATAAAAAAAGAGTATGTCAGCAGAAGATGACATATTCCTCGCGGAAGCATCGTCAATAGCCGACCGAAAAAAAAATAAATAGCAGAAAATTACCATATGTGTACACATAGTGTACTGTAAGAACAAAATATCGATAACTATGTGTGACGTTTCTAAGGGGGGGGGGGGGAGGTCTCCAAAGAAACGAACATATGACGTTTCTCATGGACAAAATCGATATGTGAGGCTTCCCTTACGCTCTGCTGAATACTGGCATGTGTGATGCACTCTCGCTGTGTGGACTTGATGCAGCAGCCAATCATATTATTGAATATCAGCACGTGATGGTGTTATGCAACGCTAATCTCTGAACCCTATATAATCATGTCCATATTTAGACTGCCAAACACGCATGATTGACACGTGCTGCATGTGTGGGTGATCCAGTGTATTTAATCATACTTGCGTATTTATTCTGTGCTTGCGAGTGTACTACAATATTTTCAGTGTACTTAGTGTAGCAGCAGTAGCATCTTATACAGTCGCTATATATATAAATGAGTATACCGTCTAAATAATATCGGAACTTAATTGAATGCCCGTAATGAATAACATGAATGCCTAGAATTTCTCAATATTTACCTCTGAAATATTTATACATTTGAAAACAACACTGTCGCTCCTTCCTAGCTCTGCATAATGTCTAATGAATATACCGTCTACATATATCAGTACTTGATTGAATTTAGACCGTCATGCACAACATAAATTCATATATTGCGTAGATTCTCAAAGATTTACTCAATATTCATGTCTGAAATGTTTATACATTTGAAAACAACACTGTCGCTGCTTCCTATAACATCGTGAATTCGTGATCTACGGCTTCATAGCGCATGCGCATTTGCGCTGCTATATGAAAAAATCGGGCGTTCCGGGGGGAAGATCCTTTACACAACATGAGAGGCAAATGTTTTAAAATTACAAAAATTTACAATAACGACAACGATTCCTCGAAATTTTTGTGAACTTGGCAAAAGAACAAAAGAATATTTAAATAAAATAAATAAAATTGCTTAAATAACCTTCAAAGCACTGACTAAGTACAATAAATCACTGCGAACATAAACGTATACACCCCCAGGAAAGTTTACTCTATGACTGACTGACTGACTGTTTGACTGATTCGTGTGAATTCGCCAGCCATCACAATAGTGTGAAGTGAAACTTCACACTAAAATTAGTACATTTCATGGTAAATATCGCGATTTTCGAAAGCATATTACTCGAAGGGTATTCATGTAAACGTCTTCAAACTTTGTATACTTACTAATTTTGAGGTGGTCGTTTTAGTGATTTGGTTCATTTCTTAATTTGGGCATTTTTTTAACACTCTTCCCCAGTCCACTCCTCAACTTCGGAATGGCTAATTGGGATTTGGTTGTCACTACATGCATCTTTCACTTTGCAAAAAAGGTTGAACTCCTGCAATATCCAGTTGTCTGACTATAATTACTGTACCTCAGTGGCATGTGAGTTGCATGCACGAGTGCTTCCAATTTGACTGTACCGAACACAGAATGGGCCTGATTACAACTACAAAGTATTTAAAGAACGATGCACTCATATTCAGAAACATATGAAATCCATGAAGTCACATACCACAGGTAGCCCATGACAATCCCATCCAAACCTTCGTTCAACATGATATCCTGATTGGTGTGCATAACGAGTAACTATATCCTGTCAGATTAACAAACATCAATCACAATCAATTTACAGCAGAAATAAAAACATAATATCATCATCAAATAACAAGGGCGTGCTTACTTATACTATTTTACCCAATTCAATTCATTTTTGCACAAATTTTACCTTAGTACATTGGATTAATTTTATACTCGAAATTTGGTTATTTTTACAAATTATAGACAAGTTACTATATTAAAGGAATGTGCACAGTAGCCACAAAATAGCATATAGAAGATAATAGGATA